GGACGTGTGAGCGCACACAGCAGAAACAGCGCACACAGCAATGCCTTGAATTAGTGAAGACGAAGATTACACAGTGGCAGCTCTGCTTCGTTTTATAATGAGGTTAAAGGACTCTTTACTAGTGAAAACTTCATTGGGGGAAAAAAAAAGCTTTGGCTAGCTCCAGCATTCATAGCTATTAATCTTTCTAAAGCAACAGACAGAGGATTTGGGAACTCTGATGAAGATATTAACAAAAAATTGGCTTTCACACTTAAAGTTTTTACCATTATCTAGTTACAGTGGGGAAAGGTTAAAAAGTGGCCTCTTCCCCAAAGGGTCTGAAAAATACCGTGGATCTCTCTATTATATTTAGCCATCACATTATGCTTGTGTCTTAAGAAAGTAATTATTCTCCAGAAGGTGATTAAATTGTGATAAATGACTACAGATTCTTAAAGATGTCTTTCAGCTGGTCCTTCTCCCTTGCAGCTCAGACACTAAGCTGTCATCACATTAGCCAAAGGTGAGGGATTTTTTGTTTGCCACAATCATAAAACTTTCACTCTACATTAAGAGTTATAAGAACCAGGAGCCTTGAATACAGATTTTAATAACAGATGAAATTTTCAAATCTATGCCTAATGCCCATCTGCTACTGAAAGACAGACAATTCAAAGCTGGTAATCTAATCACAAAAGTCTTTTCCTAGCCAATGAAAAAACCTGGATACAAGCTGTCAAAACAACCTCCTCGGCCATGTATTTCTGCTGAATGGAAAACATACCTTATGATGTGTTTGCATTCTGCTCCGAATCTTTGAGGAAAACAAGATATGCTGTTTATGTATTTTATCACCACTTCTGTGCACGTTATATTCTTAAATAATTCTATTTATGGACATCATACGTAACAGTACAATCCCATTAAGAAGATAGTTGAGAAATAAAAGCTAAAGCTGGAAAGCACACAAGCTGGATTACCAGAAACAAAGCATTTCTATTTCTAACATTGTCCTGGGTCTCAAAGTGAGGGTGGCAGTGTTACAAAAATGCCAACTTTCCAGGTCTCCACTTACGTGCTGCTTTTCCTTTATGCTGACAAGTACCAGAAACAACAATTACCCCTGCTTGCTTCCTGATGCGGCCAGAAAGCAAGCATGCAAGCAAATCTAGAAACTCAATTTAGGGCTAGATACTTTCACAACTCCCTTCAAAGTTGTTCTGTACTTCATCATGCAAGAATTGATCGTGCAGGGTAGCACTCAACTCTGCCAGTAGTCAGTAATGTAGGTTTCAAAAGGAAGTCCAAGAAACCCTGTAAAGGGTAAGTAAAGTCTTTGAAAAACGCAACCCCTGAGATATTCCACCTAATTCACCAGATCTAGAGAGGTTCTTTCTGCTGATACTATTAATTCATGTTTCCCTCTCAAAAACTGTGGGGGGAAGGAGGGAACCCTATGTGCTAACCCAGCAAGCACAGGTGGATATAAATACCTCAACTGTTTTAAATTCTTGTTTTAGGACACTTGTTTTACTCTTGACCTCAGAAAAGGACTTCCCTACTTGCCTAAGGCTGTACAGAAGATCTATGTATGTGGGTCCAGTGTCTCCTGGGACAGAGATGCCACAGTGAACGGTTGTGATATCCCTGCTGGGTTACAGGAAAGTCAACCACTTCATCGTTTGCACATTTGGATACAGCTGCTGCTCCAATTCCCCTGGATTTTCCTGAATATAACATGGTGGAACTGCAATGGCAGAGGCTGCCCCAGACCACTGCTAGAAGTAGCATCCTACAACTAGGAAGCACATGGTTTTCACTGCCTGCTCAGTGCAGTATAACCAGTATAACAATCTGACACATGGCAGCTAGTGTGGGCTGAGCTCCCTCACACAGGTATTATTAAATATTGCTTACAGTGACAATCTTCAAGGTGACTTGAATTTGTCTGCAGTTCTTGAAAACCTCTCCTCATAGACCTGTTTCTTTGGCTCCAAAAAATGAGGCTGGTGATCAGAACACACTTAAGCCCTGGAAATGCATTGGGAGCACTAACACCAGCTCAGCTCCTCAGTGACATGCAGGCACTAAAGAGGTGAGTCTTTCTGTCTGACTTGTTACGTTCTCCCGGAGGCAAGGGGCAGTCCTGACCCAGTCTGAGCACACTGTGAGGATAGGAAATAACCTCAGAGAAGTTAAAGCACTAACATATCCTAAGTCTTCCTCACAGGAGTGTAGAAAGGAGAAGAAAGGATTAGATTATTCAAAGTTGAGTAGTAAGAAGTCAGCTCATGATTATTGCCTCCCTCATATTTCACAGGGTGGTCTTAAATGACGGAAAAGACTTCTTCCCAACTCACCCCATTGCTTAGAAAGCAACTGTTCCTATTGCATAATTAAAAAGCCTAATATAAAAGGGCAAGACCAACAAATAGATGTATAACAAAAAAAAGATAACAAATGAAAAGACCAAAAAAATGGATCTACTCATTATTAGGCCATCCTCCTCTGAACTCACGAAAAAGCGTTAACAGTAACTGACTTGCTAGTTGTCTATGCTGATCATAACTCAGCTTTCTTTACCAAAAGGTTTCTGAAAACATATTCAAGTATTAATAATAGAAAAATGAACCATTTTATAACAAAAATCTTGATTTATTAAAAGCTGGAACTGGTTAAAAATAAATCCTTGACATAAGGTTCTTGTTAGCTTTAAACCGTAAGCATAAAAATACCCTAGAATTATGTTTTGGTACGGATGAAATGTACTCTATATAACACACACAAAGAGCCTTGACTTGCTGCTATTATTTTTAATTAGGCTTTCTAGCATGTATGGTTTTACCTTCCAACACCAACTCAAATTTGGGAAAAGGGAGTGTCTAACTCTCCAAACTCATGGGACTGGCAATTCCACGGCTCATGCCTTGGAGCACTAATGCATTTTACATTAGCTGTAAGCATCAGGAAATCCTGGCTTCTGGCGCCAAGAAGTTCAAAACGATAATGACACACATCTGAAAACTAGGATTCGCCGTTCGACTGCCACTATCTATTCTATCAAACAATTCAGTCCCGCTCTGTTACAAATAGGACAGAACATTTGCAGCAGCCCACGCTGTTTCCAATTAGCCCGTGTGTCTGGACTGCAGACAAATCCATGGAGCAATCATATTGAAAAAAGCTTTCCTAGAAAACAGAATTCTAATGAGAAATCTGAATATTTACAGAGGCTATCAACAACGGGCAATTACCAAGTTTGTCGTTAGCCAAACTGCAGTTTTTGTCTGTTCTTTCTGGAGGTGAGCCTCCAAAATGCCTTGAGACATGACAAGGAAATTCTGCAAGTACTTAATTCAACTAAGTATACACCAGATGTATTTTGCTACTCATTTTAGTTGAAATACAATCAGATAAAAAAGCAGCTAACTAATGTCGCTCCCCGATAAGGGACTGAAATTTGAGGTTGAGTGATCTACTTTAACTTTTACCCAAGGACACTCAAGAATTTTTTTGTCAGCTGAAAGCTTTCTGGCCAAACAAGCATCTCAACATGGGCTGTATCTACATTTACTGGCAACAAGACAGTCCACAAGCTTCACCCTACACACCTTTTCCCCCACCAGGGAGACACATACCCATAAAATGTTCTGGTTAATACAGAAATCTGTCATCTTCTGGGTCGTGTGTCTATTTTAAAGTTGAAGGTGGTAAGTCACAGAGCAAGACTCCAAGAGCAGCATACAGCTCATACTTTCTTCAGTTTCTCCATGACCCGTATGCTCTGAAACAAAGGTTGAGCATTTGGAAATTACCAATGCCAGTATCCCCTTCCCAAACATAGGCTCCACACAAAGGGATACACACTAGTCTGAACTTGACCTTTACTGAGTATAAACACTTCTTTTTCAAAAGGATCCATCTCTTAAGTCCTACTTTTTCTCCTGATTTTAATTTTTAATTTTTTTTAGATGTTAATGCCATTCCACCCTTGCTGAATGTTCAGCTTCCTGGTGCACCACAGGTAGAATAAACAAACAAGTGTAACTGTCTGTGGTCCTTTAACACTACAAGAAGACAAAGTAAGGCAGAAAAATCTCTTTTGCTTCAGCTGTACATGCTGCGAGTTACTAGTATTTTACACAAGGTGACTAAAGTTGTAAGTGGTCAAAATAACATTCTTCCTTTGGAAAGGAACAACTTCAGCCACAGGGCTGGGCATATCCAGACAGCATCCTGCTAACGTGAATTCTGTACCTTGACTGTGAAGTGTTTGAAATATTTCCTGCTAATGAGCACACATAATTCATGCTCTATAAAAGGCCTTTCCTAAGCGCTACAGGATCTATGAAGATTTCATTCCTTGAAATGAGTCTTTTCTGTTTTGAACTCACGGGAGAGGTCTACTCAGAAACTGAAACTGGAACATCTTGCTAACATTCAGAGAAGGAGAGGTCATTGCGCAGAGGGGGAATTCAAAGAAACATCTCCCAAAAGTCAAGCCAACATCTTTTGCTCATCTAGCAAATTTTCAAAGTAAGTGCCATCAGTAATCTAAGTCTTCCTGAGCTATTCCCAGTTAGGTTAAGGGGGGTGGAGAACAAAACAAAACAAAACAAAACACCACAGAAATAGTTTTGGCAGCTGAGAAACTGATTTTTAACAATTTAAGAATATTGGAAAGGAAAGTCTTCTAGGTAATCAGTATCTCAAGCCCCTCTTTAGGTATTTCCCAACAACTATGTCTGAATATAGTTGAGTAATTGTCAAAATACGTAGTTAGTTGTGTGTTCTGGTTTTACATTTCTATTCTACAGCTTTTGGAAAGCTATCATGTATTACAACACGTATGCTAAAAAACCACGTAATTCAGAGGACAGGCCAGAATGGCTTTTTCAGAGTAAACCATTCCCACTGCTATGAGGGCAAAAGTTATTGAACAACACAAACAAAGCCCTATAAAGAAACTTGAATGAGTATTGTTGGATTTCATGCAACCTTTACAAACAACAATTTACCTGCTAGAGAAGGGATGCTGCCCAACAAGGTCCCCGTTCTGAAGATGGTAATCACTGAAGAAATCTGGACTCACTGCCCCATCGGGGGCTACTAAGCCATCTATAAAAACAAGAAAGATACAGTGACTGTATGAAGGAACATGACTTCGGGGCAAGTGGGCAACACAACCCACACTGGTTTGTCTTAGAAATTCATTACAACTTGCAGTATTTCTGGGAGGAACGTCAAGCAAAAATACTACTGAAAACCAGCAATGTTTATTACAAAAACACCTCACTGGGATTCCAAGTAGCTCAGCCTACTGAAAAGAGCTGTACCTAAGAAAGATTTTCTTAGCCCTTCTTCCTCAGCTCTGTAAAGGTTTGATCAAGACCCATCTTGTCTGCCTCATCATGAAAGTAAAGAGAAAAAGTAATGAGAAGGGTCAAACATTAATCTGGACCAGCAACAAAAGTAGAAAAGCAGCAAAGGTCTTAATTGTTCAAACTCCACCCTCCACCACTGTATCTCTCAAAACTAGTTACAAAAAACCAGGAAAGTAACTTCATAAAATCACAGAATCGTTATGGTTGGAAAAGACCTTTAACATTCAGCAAGTCCAACCGTTATCTAACTCTACCATGGCCACTTCTAAACCATGTCCCTGAGCACCATACCTAGATGGCTTTAAAACACATCCAAGGATGGTGATCCACTTCTCTGGGCAGCCTGTTCCAGACTTTGATAACCCTTCCAGTGTAGCAGTTCTTCCTACTGTCTAACCTAAACCTCCCCTGGCGTAACTTGGCAGTATTTCCTCTTGTCCTATCGGTTATAACTTGTGAGAAGAGACCTACCCCCACCTCTCTACAACCTCCTTTCAGGTAGCTGTAGAGAGCCATAAGGCCTCCCCTCTGCCTCCTTTTCTTCAAACTAAACAACCCCAAGTCTCTCAGCTGTTCCTCATAAGACTTATTCTCAAAACCCTTCACCAGCTTAAAGGCTTCACAGTTTCCTCATGCTTTATGAGGAAGAGAAGAAAATCAGGGGCTAACATTTCCCTCTGTTACAACAGTGTAAATCCAGAGTGTCTTTGAAGTCAAGTCAGTGAACTGACCCCAGCTGAATGAGAGCCCAGCTTAACTCTTTCCTGTTCCCATTGACAAAACACATTTTTGTTCATATTAAGGGAATAGTTCTTACTCAGTAATTAGCATTATGCTCTAATCAGATAAAACAAGCTACTTCATGAAAACAGACTCTGCATCAGTTTGTCTCCATTACTGTATGAAAACAATCCCAGACTTGCAGTGCAAAAAGCATCCCGAAAGCATCCCAATAAAAACAGGTTCATTCAGACTGATACTTTAATAGTTTAACAGAGGGGAGAGAGAGAGAGAGATTCCTAATGACTAGGAAGTTACAAATGCCATTCCACTTTAAAGAAAGAGAGATAAGATCCAGGGAGTCACAGGCCACTTAGCTTAACCTCTGTGGTTTCAAAACTACTAAAACTGCCTGTGCAGGAAGCAGTAGAAAGTTACTTACAGACACAAGGGCTTAAAGATGACGACTCAGGCATTCAAACGAATCTCCCTGTGCTTTATGAATTTACCTGCTGTTTTTTGAAGATAATATAGTGACAAATGATAAAAGGAATAGAATTGACACATCTAGATTTCTAACAGACATTTGATGAGGTGCTACAGAGACTGATTTAGAAGATAATGCCTCATGGGAAAGTGAGTGAGTGCAACAGACTGTAAATGAAAAATGCTGGCCATGAGCAGGCTACATTTTAGCAGCATAGGATAGCTGTACATGGCTATATTTTAATTGTATACATCTGTATACATTATGTGAAAGAGTATTACTTGACAAGCAAGTAATCTGGCACAGATCGATATGACTGTCTTTCAGCATGTTCAGTGAGACACAAGTGCCCTGTGATATGGACGTAAAGAACCAAAGAAGAGGAAGGAAAGTTGAAGTGGATACTATTAACACTTGTGCCATGTTTTCCCTATCTCACCACCTATTCTGTATTTTTCACAGAAAAGAAATGAGGGGGAATATTAGCACTGTTATACCTGCACCACTCAAGATCAAAGCTATCAATTAATGTGACTATATAAACAGTCAAGTTTGGTTAAAACTTACTTGAAAGCAGAGAGACTTAAAAGTAATTTCTATCTTTCTATTAATAAAGAAAGAGCTACATTTTAACTCTGAGGACAGAGCTACCACTACTTAAAGTGTCTTCAATCAAGAGTGCTAACATTCAAACCATAACACTCAGAGTTATGGCTCACATGAATTTCTAGGAAAATGAAAGCACATGGATAGCATCAGCTGCATATAACATGATTGCACAGTTAAAGGACATCTGTTGTTATGTACATTTCAACATAAATTAAGGTTATGTACTTTCAGAGCAAGAGAGACACAGAACTAATGAAGCTCAGAAGCTTCAGAGATTCTACCAGATCTTTAATGTGGGTTTAAATTACTATGCAAGAGAGGTGTTGGTGTATCACTGCAATAAGAAACTCATCCTGTCATCAGTGAACTCCAGAACTATTATGGCTGAGGGGGACTTAATGTAACTGAGTGTCAGTCACCTGTGCAGGTCATTTCTAAGATTACCAAATTAAAATGCAAACATTTAACTTCTGAACACCCAAAGATCTGTATTTTTGTTATTTTTTTACTAAGTAATGCTCTGTCCTTTGGAAACAAAAATGCCTCCTCCAATTGGTGCAATAATCTGTAGCCTTTTCAAAGGAATGTTATGTCCCCTCTGGCCGCATCTCAGAGGTATAATAAACCTAGCAGACTTCAGAAGCACACCATTACTGGCACTTGTCAGAAGGAACCTGAGAAGTGAATCTGTGTTTTGAATATAATCACCTACTCTTACACCTCTAAAAACAAAAGCACTTTTCAAACATCTGCACAATATATCATTGGAAATCTGCCTCTCCTTCCCGGTCAGATATCAATTCCAACACAAAAATCTTTGTTTAAATAACATTAAGCCTGTAACATAAATGATTAAAAGCCAGGAAATTCAGTGTTTCTGGTGTCATTCCATCTCTAGCTCACACTACTGAGAAAAGAAATGACCCTATGAAATAAGCAAAGGTTTATCATTAGGACCTGTAAAGGAAGACTACAGCAGGCATGTTGGCACATTTTTAATTTAGGAAGCCCAAAAGAAACTTGATGTAATAAAAGACCTTGGGACCATACAACACATGGCTCACACTGCTAACCTTGTAGGTCTAAGTAGAGCAAGATAAAGATACAGGACTCAAAAGGGAAAAACATAGCACTGAAAAGGCAAGGGGCTACGTCTGACATATGGAATCAAAGCAGAACAACAAGACTCCTTAAATTCTGATGTACTTTGAGAATGATTTTTGAAATGCTGCTGAGATCTTGCACAACTATTTTTCTCACAGCAACTACAAGTAAAGCTTATGGGTTTTAGTGGTTTTGTTTTTCTTATTACGATTGCTGCAAATTCTTCCAGAGTCAAAGTTTTGTGACTCACGCTTCACAGCAAAGGACTGGACACTTCTGTGGAAAATAAAAAACCACAGACTCAAACCCAGCCATTAAAAAAAAAAACCCTAAAAAAAAATCCACACGCACACAGTCATCCAGGAGTTTGAAAAGGATATAAAACCACAAGTTTAAAAGCATAAGCCAACTCCTAAGCTACAAAAAGTTATGAAGACACTTATTCGGTGGGCAAATTATTTTGTGATTGTCTCCTGCAGAGTTTTTTTTGAAACAGCTCTGAAACAGCTGGCAAGGGGATATTGGACTGGATACATCAGCGTCTTTAGCCAGTATGGCAACTTCTGTGTTCTTAGTAACTACAGAATCTTTACAAAAGTTGAGAACCCCTAGAAATATACCATTATGCACTACTAAAAGGATCAAGCAAAATGATAAGCATGTCTTTTTTCTTTAGAATATGTATCAGGACTAATCTCAAATAAGAACATGACTCTTCTTAAGAATTATTTTGAAGATTTTTAACTAACTTCTTCAAATTGTCAAGTACTAAAACTTTCTCACATGAAAAAATATTCGCAGAAGAGATTCACATGCTTCCCTAAATATACGAGAGCAAAGATCATACAACCAGATCAACTGAAAGTCACAGAATGTTTGCCTCTGCTAAGGAACCTACATGTTTGATGTGGCTCAACTGAAATCTTTCACCAAGATCTGCTCCCATTTTTATGTTACAGAACTAACACAAGGCAGAAAAAAATTCAGCATCAAATCCCATTGCTGTGAACTTAACAGAGATGAGAAAAGGTTTGTGTTTGTAAAGCAAATAAGCTATGGACACAAGAAAGAGGTGTGAAGAACAAGGTTGGGCCGCCTTTATTCAAATCAGTTGTCATGGTCCATTAGCTCTCTTAATAAGGTCATGGATACACAGTACTCAATCCGTCATTAACATCCTAAAGAGGACAAGCCCATCCCTGGCTGGCATGCATCAGTGCTGCTCCCAGTGACACAACTGTCCCGCTGGTTCAAGTCAGCAGATTCTCTCTACAGCCCCAGGTCAAGCTCCTGTCCCAAACATAGCGGTAGCAATCCCAGTCCTGAATACTAACATTTGCTGCCTTACCTGCATTGTAGTAGAGGTCAGGTCTTTCCAGAATATCCCCTTCATGGATGTAGGGCTCAATAGGATCGTCACCATACAGATACTGCTCGCTGTCATCCATCTGCCGACTCTCCACCATCTCCAGCCACTGAGAGTTGTGCCATCGAAATTTCTCGCTCTGGATTTTTTTAGCCCATTCCTCATCATATTCCTGTTAAAATCACCACATAATATTTTAGGATGAGGTACAGACAAAGCTGTTTGGTTTAACAGGAAATGCTAGAGGGATTTTATGTCAGCAAAAGATGTAAGCTTCAGGGCTCAGTGAATTAAATCTTCTATTCGGATTGCAGAGCACTTTGAGCAAACAAGGGAAAGATTTTTCACACGCTAGGGATTATTCTGGTTTTGTACATGCAGCAGTACCATCTTCCCTTCTTGATTTGTAACTTTAAACCATCCAGAAAAAAAAAAAATCCCATTTTGAGCAGGGAGCAGGGAAGTTCCATCATCACAGTGTCCTCATTTGGTTTATCAAGAAGAGCCAAGTACTGCCAATTTTCAGGGGGATTTCAGTAATTAGTTCCTAATGCTGGCCAAGTGTCCTGTATATCCTCCTTAGATGATCATTCACTAAGACAACTACTTACTAGAAAATACAACAAAAAAGGTTGGGATCAAAACCAATAGATTTTTTTTTTCCATGAGCTTCAGTAAGACAGGATTTTATTTTCAATTTCTTGTCAAATTTTATAATGGCTTTCTACATTTAATATTGAATATCCACAAAAATGGTACACAACATTTGTAATAAAGGGGCTATGGCAATCCAAGATATGAAACTAAAATGTGAGAAGAATTTCTCCAGAAAGCTAAGGAAAACAGGATATAGGTTCCAGCTGCTATGGAAACAAAATGCAGGCATGAAACTTCAATCTGGATTATAGCCTGATTGCACTCAAGTGATGTGATATTCAATATAAAGGCACATCAGAAAGAAATGACATAGCCTATGGTCACTGCAATCAGCTGTTTAGAAGGCTCCTCTAAACAGACCAGACTACGTGGGCTGTTGATTACCACTGAGAGAACACAGACCTGTGGATAAAACACAGTTTCTCAGTATTACTGGAAAGACAGGGCACAGCTAACTATAGGAAACTCATCAACATATGAGATCTGCAGATGGTAGCGATTTGGGAAGGTTCACAAATAATGCACTATGGTTAGTACTTTTTTAAATCAAAGTATTATGAAAAAGAACAACATTCATAATCAAAGTGTTTCTACTCATGGGAAGAAATACCCTTGTGAAGCAGGTCTCACTTCCCTGTCTTCTAAACCAACTACAGAAGAAAGAAAAATGGAAAACTATTTCTTAACTCTCATGTTGGTTTACACAGGACCTAGGCACTTTCCTTGCAGTTCTAGCTAGAGTAGTTTAAGGTTTTTAAAATCTGTTGTACTTAGCCCTGAAGGCAATAAAGAGCGTTCACACAATTAGCGCCAATGCTTTGGCTATGGAAGTGGTAATTTTTTAAACTGCTCCAGCTAAATACGCAGAAGTAGATCTGTCTATAACTGGAGGTCAAAACATAACACCGAAGACAGAATAAGTTGGCTTAGAAGCTCACGTTAAACTTCAGAAACCCCTATAAGCTGAACTTGAGCTTTTAAACTGACTTAATAGTCAACCTACCTTGTCTGCACTGCTATTTACCTGACATAGGTAACACACTTTCTACTCTGTGCCTTTCCACCCTTCCGACTGGTCAGCAACACACAAACCATCTGGCCCAATCATTCTGGCAGAAGCTTCTCTGACATGGCTAACCAGTACCTAGAGCATCCAAGACTTCATGGGCAGTCATTGTGCAACCGCAAAACCCTCCTCTATGGGAGTGAATTTTAAAACTTTGTTTTACTTGGAGACATGGCAAGCTTGTTTCTGTTGGCTTAAAGCAGAACATAAACTCCGTTTTGATGGGACATCCACACAAGTGCTTGCAGATTTAGGGGTCTGATCAGTCTGAGGCATTATTCTAAACTCCTCCAATTCCACCTCTGGCCAACACCAATTACTGGACCTTTCTAATGCCCCTCCACACCTTCCTGACACACAAAGAGTCCTCTTCAAAACCCAGTCTCCTGCATAACTTCCACACACAGAGCGGGTATCACCTGTGGGATCTAGAGATATTCTCAGTGCCCAGTGGCCTCAAGCAAAATTCCAGGTTTCTGTCAGACACAAACGCAGCAAACGCAGAGAGGAAGAAAGAAAAAACACCACAAAGCAAAACACCAAAATCAAACACACACCTATCCCTCATCCTGTTTGGAAAGAGAAAATCTCATGCTATTTCTGCCTCTTGATCTTTTCCCTCACTTCCACTCTCGATTAAAAGAAAGAGGCTAGAAATAACAGTGAAAAACAAGATTCTCCCTGGAAAAAGCAGGCTCATCACTGAGATTTACAAAGTGACCCATAAAAAAAATGAAAGGGCGCGACTTTAATGATGACATCTGACCAGCATCTCGGAAACATCTCCTTTGCTGCATCTGCCAGAGCTAAACTGTGGGCCATCTATTATGTCAGCCTCCAGCAGTTATGAATTACAAGGTTTAGAGAAACACCTTATAACTTCCAGAAGTCATGCTGCAGTCTTAAGAAAACTATTCCCAGAAATCATGATTGCAAAGAAGTTGGGGAAAATAAACAAATTCAACAAACAGCAAATTCGACTAATCTGTGGGAAAGCTGAATCCCTTTTACATTCTCCTGTTTACCTCTATTAGTTCTCAAAAGCAGAAAGGCCAGGAGCTAATCACCTAATTCACATTTACCATAAACACGCTCTGAGAACATTTTTATCTTCCCAAAGTTACAACTCCAAATGAATCCCACTTGCCCAACACTACAGCTCCACTCCACACCACTATCTGAACAGGTTTAATGTCTGTCACAAGCAGACATGAACTTCTCATATCTTTCTAAAAAAAACCCCAACAAACCCTAGTTAACAATTCTCAGATCTTTAATGATTTTTTTTTTCCAAAGATACCAAGGTAGAATATTTCTATGTATTCTACATTTCCCATCCTACATTAAGAGGCTTAAAACTCCCAGATATTTTACCTCAATCATTCATTTAAGTTTTGGAAAACAGGATTAGCAACTGATCAGCAAATTAGCAGCTATAAGATTGAGCGTATCTGCATGTTACTTAAAAATCACAAGTTCAAGCAGTTTGGCTACTTTGTGACATCTGTAACTTGCATTTCACTATGAATGAGCAACAAGAACAAAGAAATGACCGCACCAGAATCAAATCAATCGGCTTTGTCAGGAGCTTCACTCTGGCATCAATCCTAGAAAAGAATGATTTGCAATAATCTAGGACAATTTGCATAACCTCAGCACAAAAAAGTTTACCCAGGTACTGCTCGATGAGGAATATGTCTGTAGATTTTCCACAGAAATGTGCAGAAACGTCACTGTGTCATGATTAATGAAATAACATCAGAATGGAAGAAAAGCTGTAAATGCGAGACTACAGCCAGAAGGCACAAAGAAATCAAATTAAAGAAGTTTAGAGCAAAACAATTCCCTAAAACACACCAAGTCTTCCAGTAATTATATTCTGAGCTATTAAAAACCATTGTGTTCTTTGGATTTGTTTAAAATTTGTACACTTTGTTTTGGTTGGGTTTTGGTTTTCGAAACACGTGAAACACAGCTCCTTTACTAAGGAATTCCTGCAAAAACGAAACCAGAAAACCAAACATGATGGAGATACAAACATAGCTTTGTGCCTTCCAGCCCTTTTAAATGTTAGGCTATGAGAAAAGTGGTGGGTGGGGGAAGAAGGTGGCAGACAATGTGCGTATTCTCCAACTCCCCAACCTCTCCCAGAGATTGCATGTTCAGAAACATAAAAGGAGGAATCACGAAGGTTGATTTTATTCTCTTTGGAGCTCCCTGACATCACTGTTTTTAACATTCGGTTTCCATAAATCCAGAAGTGTCATAGAAGATGTATGGTTCAACTCTGTGAGGAATGTGCCATCCTTTTTGAAGTTCTACTTCCAACTTTGTTTACTACTGAACCATTGAAATATTATGAAGCGTTAACTGGCCCATTATCAGAGCATGTCTGTTCCCTATCAGGGGTCCCCTTTGTCACTGGCTTCCGTCACACCTTGTATCTGATTAACACACTATAGGATAACATAGAGCTACACAGATCTGCTTTGTGTTCTCTCTCAGCTGATGAAAAACAGATTTTCCTTTGCACTTTAATGTGGTTGCCCTTTAATTGGGTCTGTAATAGGGTTCATTTGATGTGATTCCTCATACTAAACTAAAACTGCCATACAGTAAGCAGAATGCTCATTATGTTCAAGGCTGTAGTTGGTAATTTGTTACATTCTTCATTATTTAACCATCGCTAAAACAGTTTACATGAAAGGTTAAATTAACCATTTATTAAGAAAGAAAAGATGTATCTTGTCTTGCTATCCAAAAGTTAAGCATGCCATTTGAACTATGTGCCTCTACAAACCAAGGAGAGAAACAGATGTTATGGATCACCTTCTGCAGGTGTCTATGACACCTACCTCAGGGTAAGTACCACCGGAGGGCAATTCATTCACAAGCCAAAATAATTCCTCTACCACCTACACCTGTGCAACCCAGAGTCCCTTCTTCACGAGGTTCATCGCTAAATATATTTTGGTAGGGAGGTAACAGAAACCCATGATATGAAACTAATGGCAAGGCAGAGAAGAGAGAAAACATTCATGCCCCCTACATAAAACGCCCTCAGTCCATAGTGTTGCTGTATTGTCAGTAGCTGAAAAGAGATTATTTTTTTTACGTTTGGAGAAATGTAAGGTATCTCATTGGCAAGCTGTTAATAAAGTAACAGAGATCAGGTGTTTTGCTCACCTTCCCTGTCTTACAACTCCAAAAAGCAAGCACCAATGCTAGAAGGAAATCTGCCCGAGATGGATTTACATGAAGATAAAACCAAGCAGGACATGTCTGCCCTGTCTAATGCTGCCTGCAGTGTGGTTATCATTCTTCTAGTCCTGTCCTGTTGGGTGGGTGCTCTTCACTACAGAAAGCTGCCAGCACCAAAGCGGACTGATTGCAAACTTAACAATGCAGAAGCTGATCGGTGAAAACACATCAACACTTCAGCCTGCAGCCCCGCACCCTGGCTGCTCTTCTGCCCACCTCTCTGTAATTCATGGATTGTTAGAGGAAAACAGGGGAACAAGACACACCACAGAAAGGGGGTCTTGACAAGTGAAAAGAGAACCTATTTTTCTGGAGTGAGTACAGCACTCTTTATAGAGAGATGACACCAAGCTAGAGTCAAAGGTTATCTATTTTCAGAGTACGCTGCCTATCCAAATAAAGCTCACAGCAAATCCCTGTGCTCTTCCTTGATTCTGAGAGAGCTGGCCAACACCTTCCACAGGCGGCCCCAAATCCTAGAGCATGGAGGGCTCACAGCACATTCCTGCATCTTAAG